AGTATTCTGTTCTTGTATTGGATTTCTGGAATTTTAATTATTATATGCTTGGGTGTTGCTCTGTTTGGGTTGTAGGTGGCTGGGGTCCTGTATGCCTCATACAACTGAGTATCTTTACCTTTTGCTAAATTAGGAAAATTCTCCTGGATTATTTCTGTGAGTAGCTTTTGTAGTTCATTTGTTTGTGTCCCTACTTCTTCTTTTATGTTCTTAATTCTTAAGTTATAGACCCTCTTATCATCTTCTAGTCTTTGTATTATTGCTGTTTGTTTCTTTGTTATTTTTTAAGAAGTTTTTCATTTCATGCTCCCATATTACAAATCTGCCCTCCAGTTCAGAGAATCTGTCCTTAGTTTCTTTCAAGCTGTTATGCCAATTTTTAACTAGACTTTCTAGTTTCCTGGTATTCTCTTTGAACCTGCTTCATGTATTCTATGCTTTCTCTATTTTCTCCATTAAACAATTCTCCCCTCTTTTTCTGTTCTTCCATTCCACCATCTGTTTTTTCTTGAGTGGTGCTTAGCATTTCTCTAAGTATTCTGCTTATGTCTAGCTTCAGGTCATTAATAACTTCATTCCTGTACTTGTCTATGAGGCTCTCGAGATAGCGCTTTATATCTATTGGTGCTGTGTCTGCTGTTGCCTCTTTCTCAGGATTGGGGGCTGAGGAGCCTTTCTTGTTGCTCCCCCTTCCCATATTTTTTGTTCCTTATATATGCAAGTGTATATAGGAGGCCCAGCTTCCTTCCCTGTCAGCCACAGTCTGATTGAATTGCGCCGGCTAGGTGTTCCCACCCACCGCAGCGCACTAGGAAGTTGCAGACCAGGCAGCCTATGCGGGGCCTGCCCCTCCAGGTCAATCTACCTTCAGGAACTGGGACCCGGGCTGTGCTAGCCTACTGGGTCTCAGCCAGCAGCGTCACGTGGGCTAGGCACTGCTCACCAATCCCCGCTTGAGAGGGGGATTGGTGACTGAAGTCACTGCAGCGCCCTGTTCCCGCAAGTCTGCCTGGTCCCAGAAAGAACATTGGAATTTAAAGCCAAAGAGATGAGAAAAAAATTAAAGTGATCAACATAGGTAGGAGTTACAAGCTTTTAGGAATAGATAGAAGGAGTAGGTGATAGGTAAACAAAACCTAGCCAAAGGAAGAAATCTTCACATAATTTCAAAATATTTTGGTTCTTTTTTGAAAAACATGAAAATATCTTATTTGAGTCACCAGCAAAAACTTAGAAAGCAGCTTGGTCAGGCCATTTTGTAACCCCAGGCAAGCAAAGAAAGCAATCTAAAAACAGCCTGAGAAATTGAGTGACTTACCAAGTCCCCTTCCCAAAAAAGACAAAAAGAATCTCTGTCAGTTCATCAAAATGAACAGTTTGTGCTCATTGATTATTTTTGTGCCTAGATCTTGTAACCTGAACAAGTACTTCTAAGATAACGATATGCAATATATTAGCTAGTGTTAATTTCCCACTTTAAAAAAAAATTCTATATCATTTCTATCCTTTTTTTCTGTTTTGCTTTTCAAAATAAAAAAACAAAAAGAAGTGAGAATATAGCTCAGTGGGAGGGCCTGGGTTAATTACAGGTAAAGGGAAAAAAATTGAACTGAGAACTCTCCCTTTCCAAATTATAAGGAAAAACAGAGTCATTTCTTAGTGGATAAGAATTTTTTCATCTCTGGAAAAATTTATTTATTTATTTATTGGTACTAGGGATCGAACTCACCATCTTGCGCTTATCAAGCAGGTGCTTACGCATTGAATTAAATCACTGGTGCTTCTGGAAAAATTTAGAATTAAAAGAATTAAGACACTAAAGCACTTTGTCTGAGTCTATACACTGTTGCTTATAACGCAATACCAAAACTGAACAAATTATAAAGAAAAGAGTTTATTTTGACTGATAGTTCTGGTCCAAAATCAAAGCATAGCACCTGGTAACCATAGCACAAGGCAGCAAATGGTGAGGGACAGGGAACAAAGGTGTGTCCTGATCTCTTTTCCTATAAAGTCACCACTATTCAAATGTGGGGGCTTCACTCTTACATAATCCTAATTGCCTCTGAAGACCCACAATTCTAAATAACACTCAATTTCTTAATACCTCAAAATGAGAATTAAATTTAAACATGAGTTCCAGGGAGATGGGGTGGGTGGTGGTGTGCAAAACATAGTCAAAGCATAGGACATATTTTAATGTGAGAGAATCAACACATATTTGGGGCCATGCCTGTCATCCCAGCACTCTGGAAGCCTGAGACACTAAGGATTGTAAGTCCAAGGCTAGTGTGGACAACTCAGTTTCTTAGACCTTGTCTCAAAAGGGGATGCGATGGGGGTAAAGAGCAGGGGCTGAGGATATAGCTCAGTGCAAAAGCCCTGTGTTCAGTTTCTACCACACACACACACACACACACACACACACACACACACACACACACACACACATTTACTTTACCTTTTCCTCCACTCTCTCTTTTGACCAGAAAGATTCCCCTAGTCCCTTGGAAGGGTAAAAATACTCAGCATTAGTCTTGAACAAGTATGGGATTTAATCACTTCTTTAGGATTTAATCACTTATAGCTGCAATCTGCACTAAGGTCTTGGACTTCTCTAAGACTCAGTTTCCTCATCTGTATAATACTAGCCATCTGACAGCATCTTTGGAAGGATTAGAGAACACATGGTACAGAACAAGTCTTCAGTGATACTAACTGTGTTAATTGTGTATTGCTGAGCAATGTACTATTCCAAAATTTTATAGGGTAAAACAAAAACATTTTATTATGCTTATGAGTTCTGTGGATTGGGAATTTCAGAATATATAGGAGGTATATGATACTTCTCATAATGTCTGGAGACTCAATTGTAGTGACTTGAAATGCTAGTGACCAGAATGCTTGGAGCTGGAAGATCCATTCCTCAGCGGATAATCCCCTGAAGCACCTGATGCCTGGGTTGGTGGGAGGAGTTGGGCCCTGCTGGCTGAAGGATGCGCTCAGCAGGATTGCTGCCTAGAGCACTTGTGTGTAGTGTTTCCATGGAGCTTGGGCTTCCTTAGACCATGGCACCCTCAGGGTATTCAAACCTCTTACTGACAGTTTAAATCTGTAGCTGACAGCAAAAGGACCACGGAAGTTTTTAAAAATGGCCCCAAATTCTTGGCACTCCTTTCATCAAGAAGTCTTTAAAGGAGGGGATATGTGAAGACATAAAACCTCTACAGATCTGCCCTGAGTGATGCTTTAGGAAGAGACGTGATAAGATCATATACTATATCAAAATTCCTTAAGGTGAGCAGTGGGTGAACTGGAGAGGTGCAGATTTTACATTTGGGTTCTCTTTTGTTCTTGATGCATAATGATTCTTGGGTAGCTTTGTTCTAACCTTCTCCCTAACCCTTTCCACTGCATCTCATAGCTTCTGCCTCCTGGGACAATTTGTACCTTTGCTTTGGCCACAAAGCACAATCCACTTCATTCTTGTCCAGTCTCTCAATTGCCTGATCCCCAAATTTTCTCGGCTACTACTCTGCCTTCTTTTTTGTTTTTTATTCTACTGCTTGTTTTCTTTTGAGTCTGTAGAAATGGAAGACAGGAAGCAGGGAGCTATAGAGCTTTGTGTGCCAATATAGAGACTGTCCGTTGGCACACAGAGAGCCTAGTGTTTACAATTAACTCCAAGTAAAATGGTGCATTTGTTTCTTAAGCAGAAAATATCAGCTGGGAATTTAGTTCAGTGGCACAAGTGACTCCCTGGCAAGCATGAGATCATGCGTTCGATCTCCATTACAAAAACAAAAAACCCAGAAAATATCTTTAGACATTTTTTAGACATTTATTTCAAAGACATTTAAACATATCTTTAGACATTTATTTCTAAAGTAGAATGTGTCAGGCCTGGTGCAACATACCTGTAATTCCAGCTACTCAGAGGCTGAGGCTAAAATATAACAAGCTTGGGTCTAGCTTCAGTAAATTAGTAAGAGCCTGTCTCAAAAATAAAACAAAAAGGGCGGTGGATGTAGCTCATTGTTTCCTGGGTTCAGTCTCCAATACTGCAAATCAATCAATCAATCAATAAAAATAAAGAGTACTATTAGTCTACATATGTGCACACACATGCCCTTGTATGGAATGGCTTTTAAGATGAATGCCATTCACTCTGTTTCTTCTTTCTGGTTTAAGCTGTTAGTTTGTGAATTATTAATATTACCGTCATGGTTTACTAAAAGATCCAGCAACTTCAAGGGTTTATGTATTTTCCTTTCTTCCTCCGGAATGAATGAAGGTAGAAGACAACATGGATTTGACGAAATTCATGTACATTTGACATGACTGTGCCCTGGTCACCTTCAGTATTCCTGGTTCTGCCGGGCTCTTTTTCTGGTGATTATTTATTTTTTATCTTAAACAATTGAGAGATAGAGTAGTGAGTCTGTGCAAACCATCAGCACACTTGAGTACAAGCTCAGCCCTTCTGAAATCTAGCACCTTTCATTAGATTAATTTGGCAGGGAGAGACTAGAATTTAATAGAAACCCTTTTCCCTTAGCTTTGCTTTTTTGTGTTTTTCAGGTAGGCATTGATTTCATCTCTTGGCTTGCTAAGCATCTGCAACTTGAGCTCTCTCATTTTCTCTGTAATTTTTATGGCAATTATAATTGAGCTTCATAAACTCTACTTCTTCAAACCTGTGAAATTTTTGGACATCATTCTGTTTGAAGCTAGGTTTGTAGGAGCTTCCACCACATAAACTTTTTATTTCAGGAGTTGTTCCGTAATGTCTCTGGAAACCACGCACTGAGTCAGAATGGAAGCATTTAGAAAACCTCCCTAAATTGGAGAGGCAGGAGACCTAAAGTATCAAGGGCCCTGCTTGAGGGACAAGGCCGATTGGTGCTCAGATTTGTCCTGCAGGCTGAGGATGAAAACTGAATTGCTGGGATATTTTTAGAAGCTGTGTATGTAGGGTAGAGACGGAGGCTGGAGAGACAGTCAGAAGAGACAACAGAGACCTGGGGAGGAGGATTCAGAAGGAAGACTGGACAGGAGGAGAAGTGAACGGAGGGGTATGATTAAGCTTAGCTTCACATTTCCCCAGAGAATCTGTGGCTCAATTTTTAAACCAAATAATTTTTTTTTTGCTTTAGAAAAGTTGGAAGTTTATAGAAAAAGTTGTGAAACACTACATAAAGTTTCCATGTACTCTATCTTACACCCGCTTTGCCCTGCTATTAACACCTCACATTGTTATATTTGCCACAATTAGTGAGCCAATATTGATACATTCTTATTTTTTATTTTAGTTCTTATTGGTGCCTGTTTGTAGTGCATAATCTCTACATTCTTTGTGCAGAATTGGTACCTGTACATAACATATCTTAACTCCTTTTTCCATCCCTTCCCCCTTCTTTCCTACCCCAACCACTGTTATTAATGAAAGTCTACACCTTGTTTAAATATCTTTATTTTTTCACTTAGTGTCCTTTTTTTGTTACAGGATCCAGGTTTCTCTCGGCCATGGCAGTTTCTCGGACTTTCCTTGATTTGAGGGCCTTGATAGTTTTGAGGAATATTGGCCAGATGTTTTGCAGAGTGTGCTTCAGTTGTGATTTGTCTGTTTTTTTCCATGATTGGACTGAAATTATGGGTTTGGGAAAGGAAGATTATAGAGATAGAGTGCCTTTCCAATCATATCGTATTAAAGGTACGTGCTATCCATATGACTCGTCTCTCTCCAAGTTGGTTTATATGACCTGTTTATCATTTTCTCCACTGTTGTTACCCTCCTTTCCACACTGTTATCTTGGGGAGAAAGTCACATGTAAGAATATCTACATAAATTATTTGAGATTCTCCAATGGATATTTGTTTCTTCTCCCCATCTGCCTGTTTAGTCAATCATTTATCAACACAAATACGAATTTATGGGTACTAACTTTATACTTTGGATCATAGTTCTGTATTTACTTATTTTGTTGTCTCAATTGTTTCAGTTTTAGCTCCTAAGACATCTTTTGTTTGGCTCTTGTGTTTTTTGACATACTCCTTAAGCGTGTGTGTGTGTGTGTGTGTGTGTGTGTGTGTGTGTGTGCGTGTGTGTGCATATGTATGTATGTGTGTATATGTGTGTGTGTGCATATGTAGGTTTTAAAATGTTTTTCCTGGCACTACAGGATGCTCCAGGATCATCTTGCACATTCTTGACCTACTTTTAGAATCTAGTTATTTTTTTCTATTCCTTTATTGAGGTTGGAATTAGAAACCAAGGTCTGATTGCTAGCTGTGCTCCTTCCTATTGGGGTGCCATTGCTTTACACACACACACAAACACACACACACGCACACATTAACCTGTACATATTTGCATGTATATAAATGTTTTTGTATGTAACCATCTGTTATGGTTTGATTGTCTGCTCTAAAATCTATGTTGGAATTTAATTACCATTTGGGCGTATTAAGAGGTGAGGCCTTTAAGACAAAATTGGGTTATGAGAGTTCACCTCTTCTGGTGAATTGATGCCACTATAAAAAGGCAAGATGGGCCCACTCTTGTCTTCATCTTTCACTTTCTGCCATGTGATGTCTGAGCTAGAAGGGCTGTGTCAGATGCCAGTATCTTGATACTGGACTTTCAAGCCTTCTCAATTGGACCAATAATCTTTTTTTTTAAAATGAATCACCCAGTCTCAAGCATTATTATAGAGAATAGTGTGGACTGAGTTGCCATCTATATCTATATTAGGCTAAACATCAGTTTTCACTTGATCTCTTGGACTCTAAGCCATAGCCTCTTCTCCTTGAGTACTTGTAAATTCCTACTCTAACAGTGTGGAGCCATCAGTGTATTAAGGAATGCAATTTTACCATCCATGTATATTGCATCAAATTCTGAATCTGTCATTCAGTGGGAAGCACCTATTTCAGCTAGAACACTGCGCTCATGCATGGCTTCTTACGACCTTAGTCTTCCAGACTCTGCTCACATCCAAAGTACTTAGGTTAGCACCTTTCTCTCCCCACCCTACAAATTGTTCCATACGTTTGTAGCAGTGTCTTGTTACTTCCTGCACCTCCTGCTAGCATTTCCTATCTTTCTAACTGGTGTTTTTACTATGTGCGTGCATTAAGGTTCGCTTTTTGTGCTGTAAGTTCTGTGGGTTTTGATGAATTCCATGTGCATCCTAACAGTAACACAAACTCTTCCACCTTCCTAAAAACAACCCTTGTGCTTCATCTACTCAACCACTCATTGCCAACCAATGGAAACCCTTGCTCTTTCTAGGTAACTATAGCTTTGCTAATGAAAGTAGGTGTTTTTGCCAGAAGATAAAAGGGGACATGTTTCAAAATGCTAAATCTGGCTTACGATGGGTGGGAAGAGGAACAGTGGGTACCTGTGGGAGCCAGAGATACAGGCCACTGCTGTACAGATCACATTTGTGCTCAAAACCAGAATGGAGCCTTCTTATTTTTGGAGTCATTTTATTTTAAGAATGACTGAAAACTTTTTATTGACTACTTACTATGTACTAGATGTTGAGAGGACAATAAAGAGTTAGACAGTCCTTTTAGAACATAAACTTTAATTTGTTGGTGGTGAAAAGGGGAAGGGAAGTATTTTGTTTTGGTACCTAATTAAAAATATACTCACTGTCTCCCACTGAGGACTTGTGATTTATTTTCTGCTTAGGACCATGAATAAAGTTAAGAAATAACTTAGAAAAATAATTATAAATGAGTAAGGATTCAAGAGTGGTCTCAGAGCTTAAAAACAGCAGCCTAGATACACCGACCTGGGAGCACCTTTGATGGTCAGCCCTGGAAGTCTCCCCATCAGGCTGTTCTGTCCTGTTTGCTTCCTCCCCTCCCACCACAGCCAAGACTCCGGTGCTTTGAAAGCAAGCCGTTTCTGGGTAGAATACTTGTGCACATCAAAGCTTCTGTGTTCCTTCTAAATTCAGCACAGAAAAATACTCCTCTGAAGTCAAGAACCCCCATCCTATCCCCACAGAACTCCTCAAATATCATGGTCCTCTTGTGATATTTTTCTAGAGGAACCCAACCATATGCTAGAAATGGGAGAACAGAAAAAAACCCAGCCTGCATCAGGGGAATCAAAGGCTATTATTGTTAGGGGTCAATGGGGAGCCATTAGCCCAGGCTGGGCTTCCAATTCTCTCTGCAAATTCCCACACTCCATCCTGCCACCCAATCCCAGAGGCAAGTGTAAGCTGTAGCCTTCCTTGGCTGGGTAGCTGGAGTTTCACCACAAAGGGAAACTGTTAAGATTCCTTAACAATGGGCATTCCATCCCTGGATCAAGAGGCTCTCTGGTGTTTTTGTTTTATTTGTTGATGGATAGAGACCCAATGTGCAGCCCAGTTCCTGTGTTGTGTTTTTCATACACTTTACAATCAATGGCTCTTACACAGATTTGCCCCAACTCCACAAAGGTCAGTCCTGGTGGAACTAGACAATAGGTATCTTGTCCAGCCCATCATTTATTGTCCCTGTACTTGGAGTTCAAGGTAAGGCTGGTGGGGGACACGACCCTAACCCTAACCTGACACAGACCTGACACAGCAGCCCAGGGAGGACAGAGGCTTCTGAAGTATGGATTTGTCTAATAACACCATTGAGTCATCCCTCCGTGCTTTAGTTTTCTTGACTACTAAACAGGGATGTTTATAGCACCCAGCCATAGAATTTGGGAATATTAAGAAAACTAGCTGTGAGAAGCTTTGGGAACCAATTACTATATGCAATTACTGGTGCATACCGAGTGTTGAGAAAATGTTTGCAGTTGTTACTATTAAGTAGTATTCACTGTGTGTTTGGCTAAGTGCTTTACGTGCATAATATACTTCAATACAAGACTTTATGAGGTAGATGTCACTATTATTGCCATTTTACAAATGGGTAAAGGAATGTAGAAAGGTTAAGAAACTTTAACAACAGGAAGTGGCAGAGACAGGCGAGTGACTGCAAAGTCTTTGCCCTCAACTATTTGGTAGGAGGAGAGCTCCACATTTCGTGGAAATGCAAACTTTTTGACGCCAGCATTTCTATCTGAGAGTGTCCCTGGGAGATTCTCAAGTTACTGTAACACAACTGCCACCTAAATTAGGAACAATTTTGAGGCAACACTGATTTTATGAAGCAGCTTAATTTTGGAGGGGTTGAAATGCGAAGACCAAATGTGTACCTATAGTTGATAAAATTGGCAAAATGAAGTGAGTTATGTGACTTCATCTGAGTGCATCCTGTGAGTCAGGTGTGTAAGTAATTTACACATTTCAGTGTATTTAGTCACTGTAACAAACCAGTGATGTAAGAACTGTTACTATTTTTATTTCCTGGGTGAGAGAACAGAGACAAATAGAAATTAAATAAGTTGCTCAGGTCCTGTAGCCTGCAGAGAGTTCAGAATTTGATCACAACTGGCTTGCTCCAAAGCCCACATTCCTTAACTGCCATAACCTTTAATTTGGCCTTGGATTCAAGCTATTACAGGGGACCCTGCATGTGGAGGGAATGACATGAGCATAACTAGAGGACATGGAGTGCAAGACAAAGCTACTAAGGGTTGACTAAGGAACAATAGGAGAGAAGGGTAGGGATCCAAATGTCAGACTCCAGGTAGACCAAAGAGGAAAAATAAAATCCCAATGACTTCAGATACTATATACATATGTGTGTTTGTCAGTGTGCTGTATATGTTCACCTTATTAACCTCTTTACAGCAATAGCCTCACAGGTGCATGTTTCAGAGATTTGGTAATTAAATAATGGTGCCTGTTTGGCAACCAGTGTATTATTCTAAGCCTTATTCTTGTGGGGGAAGGAGCAAACTGCCAACCATAGATGTTTGTTATGTTTCCAGCTATCTATGTGTGGAGATGTTTTGATATTTTTTACTCGACTTTCCTTATTTTTTATCTTTACTAAACCCAACATGCATTACTTTCATAATCATAAACGTGATGCTCATGCTGAACATTTGACTTTTATCTAGGCAGTTTGACTTTTATCTATCTTGTTTGCAATATTTTGTAAGGATCTTGAACAGCATCCTAATAGACGCCTTACATCTATTGACCCAGCTTCTTTCCTCTGAGGAGCTTCAGCATTATCTGCTCTGACCTCATCCGAATCCCAGAGGATGCTCTTGCTTAGTGCTGGAAGATGTACAAAATAGAAGATGGACAAGTTGGCGGGCAATTATCCTATTTGAGAAACTGAAAAATGTGACTTTGGGGATCAGTAATGATTCATCCAAAACTAAGTGGAGAGTACAAGAACTGGGATGTGTCCCAAGAAGGCCCAAGATCTAGTTGAATAAGCAGATGTCTAGAAACAAAGTGCAGAATGTTCAAATTAGTGTAGAGTGATTACTCAGAGACAGCCAGTACACAAATACTGACCATGTTTGCAATGTCAGGTGTGATCTATTGGATGCAAATTGTTAAAACTCAGCTGCAAATTAAAAAAGGCTGGCCTCTAGTACATAAATATTTGTTGGGAAGTCTGCCAATTTATTTGTAGTTAGGACAGTGCAAAGATTCCCTTTGTATCTAAATTGAATTATATTAATAAATCAGTATCTCCATGATGTTACAGTATAATTCTAAAAGTTTCCTTTTGACCTTTGCACTTTAAAACAAATACACAGATTTGATTTTCATTGATGAAACAATGAGGAAGTTGAGAAATTTT